AACCGTCCCACCATGTGAGATGTGTGGACTTGAAAATTGAGACAGACATAGATCTTAATGTCTATCTGAATTTTTTGCATGATGTTAAAAACAGTAATATGACATACTATACACATTATGAATTATGACTCTATCAACCCCAATGTCTTATAGTCTTATGAAAATGTCTGAATGTCTTTGTTGAGTTGTGTATTACATTATCCCAAATGTTTCCAGCAATTTCCAAACCTAGAGAAAGCTGTCATTTTTATCAAGGTAATTGTCCGTTTTCATTTCTGTTTAATGTGATTCTGCTTTATTCAGTGTTTTTACCTGTTTTAATCACCTGGTCCATTTGTTTTGGTTTCTCTGAGTGTTTTCCTGAACCTGAACCTTATCTGCTATATTTTTATCTGATCACTCAGACGACCTGTTGATCTGTTGTTACCAGAGCTCCAGAGAGAAGCCTGAGAGAGGAGATGTAAAACTACACTGAGATGGTTTTCGGTTCTTAAAACCACAAATATATCTTCTTAGGAATATCAAAACTTCAAATAAAACACAGCAAACGTATGAAATATGGGACCTTTTAACCAGCTGGTGGACTATCACTACACCTCCTTACTGTCCAGAAGCTAAACAATCTTGCACAGACCAAGAGGATAGAGGCATGCATGGAAAGGCTCACAGTAAAACATACATTACATTACTAGCTGTCAAAGATTTACCACCAGATCCATTTATAGCTTCTCTGGAACTTAAGATCAGGTCACACAATCTTCCTCAGCAGATTTGTACAGTTGTCATGGAAATTTCGATATTCAAATTTTCATTTTATTCTTTTCATCCGGCTGGAAAGAGTCCTGGTTGTTTTGAACTTCTTCCATTTAAGAATTATGAAGGCCACTGTGCTCTTGGGAACCTTCAATGCAGCAGACACCTGAGTTAGATTTCAATTGTCATAGGTTGTCAAAGGGTCTGAATACTTATGTAAATGTGATAATTCCGTTTTTCCTTTTTATTAAATTTGCAAAAGTTTCAAAAATTCAGTTTTTACTTTGTCATTATGGGATATTGAGTATAGATTGATGAGGGAAAAAATTAATCTAAAAGATTTTAACACAAGGCTACAACATAACAAAATGTGAAAAAGTTAGGGGGTCTGAATACTTTACTAAAACAAAGCAACAACAAAAAAAAAACCTACTGTAACTCTTGTTTTTCTTGTATCTTTTTTCTTACATAGAGTACGCATTTGGAGGAGCTGCTTGATTTTGAGGCCCAGGAGGACAGTTATATTGGCTTCAAGCGCGGAGAGATCATTCAGGTCTTGGATAACTCTGATGCCATTGGGTGGAAAGGAATGTGCAAGAGGCAGACAGGCATGTCCCCCCACAGTTATGTGACAACGGTCAAATGTAACCCTTCCTGAAGAAATAAAAAAGGAAAAAGAAAAATGTTTTTTCGACACAGCAGTGCTGCACTATCGCACACTTTGCTGAGCTGAGCAGGCATGCCGTTATTCCTCAAATCTTCACAGATAGAATATGAAGTAAAGAGGGTTAGCTTAGGTTCTATTTTGTCCATTTATCATACTGCTAAATGAATTTGGTGGTGCTAACAATCATTTATTTTACTGATGCACTATTATTTTTTGTTTTAACACCTTAAAAACAACCTTCAGGGAGAATTGGACTGGATTTAATGAATTAAAAACTAAACTTAAACCAACATTTCTTTACCAATTTTGACAATCTTGATAGTGGTGGATAAGGTGACACTTTTTATTGCATCTTGTATGCAGTAAGTAGTATCTTGCAAGAATGTATGTGCAATGTAGAGGTTATTGCTCCAGATAAATACTTTACAAATGAAAATATTAATTTCAAGTTTTGTTGTCTGCATTGTGGAGTGTGATCAGAAGGGCCTCTTTATGTCTAGTAACACACATTTTTCACATTCTCCTCAGGCACAGTGTTGCATCAATTAGTAGTGATCTCAACCCTGTTCAATTGCGTAACCAAATTTAAATTCAACATGCGACAAGGTGCTAATGTCTAGCTGCAGTCAGAGATGACGTTCTCTGAGAATTCTTCAAAGAAAATCCTGAGATGAAAAAATATTTTCCAGTTAGAGTCATTCTCACACAGGGGAGAGATTCATATTATCTCCTGTCAGTCTTCTGCACAAATATTGGTTATTATTTCAAAACGGAGCATAACATTATATGTAATTGCATAGTGGTGTCTTGCCTTCACATACTGCATGAGATGTGGGGGACAAAGGGACCTGTGTAAAAGCAAAAAGGCCTTTTCTTGCGAGCTATTTTACTAACATACAGCTTGAAACTGAATTCCATGTGAAAAACATAAGAAAAATAAGAAGAATCACAATCAGGGATTCCCAGATTTAATAGTGGAAGGAAATTTATGGTGTAAATCTTGTTTAAATTCATGTTCAATTGGTCTGCATTTCCCAATTTCTACCTGTAATTAAATAACATTGAAGATTCATTAACTTGTTTCCAATCTGAACTTGCTTGACTCTACCAGCTTGCATTATTCCTCACTTTTAATTTCTCTATTTGAAACAGAAAATTAGTGCACCAGCAATTACTTGCACAGTGTGAATCTTTATTTGCCCAGCTGGATACCAAGCTGAGAAAATAAGGAGAAAGTTGCGTGATTACCCCTCTCATTTGCCTGTCTCGGTAAATAGATTGAAACTGAATAAACTCTATTAATGTGTCACTCCTCGCCACACAAACTATACTGTTCAAAAGATACGAATGTTGAGGACCACTGCAAAATGTTGTGAACACACACAGACACACAAACATAAAAAAAAAATGCTGCTTTATTTCACTGCTAAAAGTGACAGCACATAATAAATCCATACTTTACATCCTTTCTGAGTTGTTAGCACCACCACCTGGCCACACAGTAAAATGAGCTGTGAGATACAGATTTGAAATGAGCTCAACATTAATCATTTTCATTAAGATCCAAGGATCTCGGAGGAGCAGACTTTTCAGAAAGCAGCCGAAAGAAGAGGAGGACAAGAAACATCAAAGCAGTTTATGTGGGCTGCCCACAAGACGTGGGAAATCCTGCCCTCAAATCTCACTGCTCGCCCACAGAAACCAGCACTGGTAGAAAAGATCAGCCCTGTTTTTAATGACCTGTGTCTGTTGACACCTTCACCTTCCACCCCATCCTCGAGTGTTGTGTCACTATAAGCCTCTAGGTTGGAAGAGTTCTGTTTCTCTTACTAAATTTGTAGTGTAAATTGTTACTAAAGGGATAACACAAGCCTCTGACAAAGCTTCCACCTTTTTGAAGAGGAGTACAATGTAATTGTATTTCTGTCAGTATGCATCCATCAGCATCATGACTTTGTTTTTTCACAGTAGCACATGGAATTTCATCAGGGCTTTGTCTCAGTCAGTCAGGCCAGTGACTGCTGTTCTGATTCAGCTTTGAGCCACACTTCAGAGCCCCAAGCTCCATTCGACACAGTGACATCAAAAACTCCTAAGGCCATTATCTGCTGGTCTGGAAGGGAGAAAAGCCTAGGTATTTTGTAGCAAAGTTACAAAGTGTTGTCCTACATTGTCTAAATGCAAATGTGTTTATAGCTGTTCCACATGGCTACATCTGAAAGTGGACTGATCTTAGATACACCAATGCCTGCTATCTCTTGACTCCTACAGAAATCCACTGTGTATGTGAAATAAATGTTAATATGTGGGATCTGTGTCTTCTTCACACACCAGCACTGAAAAGCCAACCTTTTAATCACAAACGAGATTGTAGTAGATGAAGCACTGAAATTCTGAACTACCTCCCAACATTTCTTTTCAAGGACCAAGCCTGCCTGTGGTGACCTATCACCAGAAAAATGCTGAATCAAGAGGTGTGAGACTGCACCGCTGTGCCACAGGAGTTGCTGGAGCTTGTCAAATAACAGCTGCATCGGTGTTGGAAATCATGATGTGTACTGTGGATCCATCAGAATAACGGACAGTGTCTTTCTCCTAACCGTGACATCCCCATCCTGCATGAATCAGAGTCTTTCAAGTGGGACCCAAACAAAGGCAAAGGGTGAGCTGCTTATATTAAATTCGGTCATTATAAGGCTAGTAGTAGCTACTTAACTTCCAAACTTTGGACATTATAAGGCTAGCATTAGCTGTGACTTTTGGAAATTTCAAGTGTAGCATTAGTTAATCCTTGGACATTAATGACAAAGATAGCTTTAGCAACTCCTAAGTACTGAATATTACAAGTTTAGCTTTAGCTAAAACTTTTGTACATTATAAGGCCAGCATAAAGCTACATTATACACTGCCACTAACATTAGCTGCCAACTGCTTGTAAGGAATTAAGGCTATTATAAAGCTAAGTAATATAGTACCACTAACATCAATTGGACATCATAAGGCTAGCATTAGCTGCTATTTTAAAGTTTGCACAATATAAGGCCAGCATTAATTAGCTACTCTTGGAGATTTCAAGGGTAGCATTAGCTGCTAACCTTTGGACATCAGAAGGATGGCATGAGCTATTAACTTTTGGACATTTCATGGCAAGTCAATACACTTACCAACTTTGTTCTCTTGTACTTTGATTTTAATGTGGTATGGACAATTGATGTGAAAATATCAGAGGGCAAGAGAAAATCTTAAGCAAAAATGTAGAAACAGGAGTGTGGAAAAAAATGTTACATGGAGATGCAAAAGAAAGTAGGGCAGCTATCCTGAGGTTTTTTTTAGATTAAAAGAAAGAATTTAAAGATGGTAATATAGATCTGTGTGTATTTTTAAATTAGCATATACATTATAAAGTGCATATAGTTAGACCTTTTGTGGGATCGAAACTGCCCATCCCTTGGAGCGTTTTTGCATTTTAGAGTCTTAATCCATACTCCAGCCAAGTGGGTGGCGGTAATACATGTAAATGTTCAACGCCTTACAGAAGAGGAAGTGCAACAACTTCAACAACAACAACTCCCATATGTCCGACAGCACATGAAGGCAGCAGGAGTGGAGTCACGCGTTGTTTGCCTCAGAGTGCACTGCAAATATGGCGGATGATGGAGAGTCGCTGGAGTCGTGGCTTAGTAAGTACGCATTGAAACTCCCTTTTGACGTCGTTTATTCATATCTGAGGTTTGCAGTTATGTGCTGCGTAACCGTAGGTGTCCAAAACACCAGTTGGGCTCCCTTGACATTGCTGTAAATGAAAAACATCGTGCTAATTCGTCTGTGTTGTCAGAAAGCAGCTAACAGACAGCTGCTGGCAACTGATGGATATCGCTAGCCAAAATCAACTTTGACATTTGGTTTACTTGTGGCTTGGACTCATAAAGGGTATGTTTAAATGTTAGCAAAAATGTAGTTACTCTATTCTTGTGGTGACCCACAGAACGCTTTAGCATTTGCTCCCTGGACATGCCTAAACACCCGGAGGCGTTAACTTAACCAATTTCAAACAGGACGTGAAATAGCAACAAGAAACTGGATCAGTGAAGTGCCTGGGGGCTAGTAGAGAGAGAATTCATAGTAAGATACATTGAAAACGATGGATACGACCTATGGGTTTGGGTTGTTGCTAGCTGGTCTCGGGAAGCGTCAGAACTTGACACTCGAGGGTTGACTTAAATCTTGGCCAAGTTCATGTATCACAAAGCTCCAGCCTTCATTACCTTTCCGTGGACACTATATATATACATGTATCTTTTAGCAAGATTTGAAAAGTGTCATCAGGGCTGCATGTTCATCAGAATCTGTACCCTTTTCTTTTCAGACAAAGCCACTAACCCTTCCAACAGACAGGAGGACTGGGAATATATAATGGGATTCTGTGACCAAATCAATAAGGAGCTAGAAGGGTATGGTCACAATAATTCAATAAACCCAATCTCTCTCACAACGTTGAATCACACTCATCCAATGTTGCTTGTCTATGTCCTCACTGTGGTAAACGCATGCAGCTTATTATAAAGCCCATTATAACCCAGAGTCTGCATTACTGTTGTTATTGAGTTAGTTTTGGATTATTTCTCTCTATTCTCTCTCTCTATTTTTCAGCCCTCAAATATCCGTTAGACTGTTGGCTCACAAGATTCAGTCTCCTCAGGAATGGGAGGCAATACAAGCATTAACGGTATGTAGTATAATCATTTAACTGTGTTTTTCATTGTAATGTCTTTGCACAATTAAAAAATATTTAGTTAAGCTTGTTTTCCTTTTTTTAGGTTCTTGAGGCTTGTATGAAGAACTGTGGGCGAAGGTTTCACAATGAAGTTGGGAAATTTAGGTTTTTAAATGAATTAATTAAGGTAGTATCACCCAAAGTAAGTAAATGTTCAAACCCCTTCTAATGGAAATGTGTTAACTTGAATTCATGTTTAGTGTCACTCTGAGTGGTGCATCTGTTATTTTTCAGTACCTAGGAGACAAAGTATCAGAAAAAGTGAAGTCGAAAGTGATCGAGATGCTGTACAGTTGGACTGTGTCTCTACCAGATGAAGCAAAGATCTGTGAAGCATATCAGATGTTGAAGTCTCAGGGTGAGACACCAGTCACTTAAAACAGCTGTTAATATATGCTGATAAAATATAATACCATATAAATGCATAACAGTGACATCCAAAAATAATATATTAAACAGTCAGGTATGACTTTGTTGTGCCACAAACTCTTTTAAGATAATTTTGTCACCTTGAAGTCCTAAAACTGCGATTTCCAGAGTACAACAGCTGCTTGTTGTTATTTTTATTTTAGGTATTGTTTTAGTTGACCCAGAAATCCCCCTCGATGCAACATTATTACCTTCACCTTCTCCGAGACCCAAGAATCCTGTGTTTGATGATGAGAAGAAGAGTAAGGTAAGAAAAATTATTTTAGGCTCTGACTATGCAAACACTGCAACTTACTCACTGCACACAACTCTCCCCTTCTCTTGTTTTATATCTTTTGCAGATACATATTTGCAATTATTTGTTTTATTGGCGCAGCATAGATTATGATCAACATTTAAGATAATATATCTCTTTTACACCCTACCCTAGATTGTATTGTATATGTGTGTTCAGTGCAGAAGTATGTAATTGCATTCACTGTAGTGAAAGTATCTGAGTGCCAGCGTATTTAGCCAACATATTCAGACCATCCACTGTCGATAAGTATCAAAGTAATAGTTTGACATTTTTGGAAATAGTTAGAGAGTTAGATGAGAATATTGATACTACTCTCATGTATGTCCATTAAATATGAAGCTACAGGTGCGAGATTTTTTGCTTAGCTCCAGGAAGTCACTGCACCCTGCCAAGAAATATTACAGTGCATGACACCCCTTAAGGCCCCAACTCATTTCTATGCTTCAGTTTTTGTTTGGATTAAACAAATGTGTTATAATGTGTTGATAATAGAACTTTGGACAGAGCCAGGCTAACTGCTTCATCCTGTGTCCAGTTTAATTGCTAAACGAAGCTTAACTTCCTTTCTAACTCTGCAAGAAGGCAAATAAGCATATGGCCCAAAATATTTAATTATTCCTTGACTTTTTCTATGTGGATGCAGCAATTTTTATTAAATCTTTCAAAGAAACAACATGATTAAACAGAAAACCTAGTCTTTCATAGTGATATACTTTCACGTTTTTTGATTATTTAATGGGAATTTTGATAGAGAGATTTTAAACGATTGAAAGAGGGAGCTGATCTCTTTCTTTCTCTTTCTCCCCTCTATCGCTCTTGCATCACTGTCCAAAGGCTTTGTTTGATGTCATCCCGCAGAAAAAAAGGTCATTTAATGTGCATTTTCAACACTGAAACTGCTCTTGTTTCTTTTTTCACTCCATTACCTCACTGGCTACAGCATACCAAGACAGGTCATGACTGCATGTTTACTTTGTGTTGACTGCAGTTGAACTATGGCTGGAGTTTGTTTTTTCAGAGTCTGGGAGCTGGCATGGCTTTGCTGCCTGTGTCTGGGTGATCTGTGGGAACTGGGCTTGATTGTTTACATGCTCATGGTTCTCTAATTCCTGCAGAAATTATCAGAGCTGCTCAAGAGCAAAAAGCCCGAAGATCTGCAAGAGGCCAATCGTCTCATCAAGAACATGGTGAAAGAGGTGTGTTGGTATCAAAATGAAATGTTGTGATTGTTTTGTTTGTGTTGTAATTATGCCCAAACTCTTGTGGCTTTCCTGTTTAGAAATTGAAACCTAATTACAACACACATATCTTAAAGCCCCCCTGTGCTTGTACTCACAGTGAAGTTTAATTAGTTCTATCAATGAATGCAACTCAACTCAACTTTTTTTTCTTTTTTTTTTCTGGTCTCAGGATGAAGTGAGAACACAGAAAGTGACAAAGCAAAAAAACACACTGGAGGCAGTAAAAAACAGTGTCAAACTCCTTAACGAGATGCTTGCTCACTTCACCTCAGAAGACTCCACGGACGGAGACAAGGAGCTCATTAGGGTTCGTTCTCCATAAGATAAAGCTCAAATCACCCTTTGAAACAGCATCCACTCTCAGCCTGGCTACTGATAAAGGAAGAGCAAAACACCTGGTTGTATCAGTGAGGAGGCAACTTTTGTTACGTACTGATTTAGTAGAAAGATGGCCTACTGAATGCTGGTTAGGGATCTCTTTCTGCGGTTGGACGGACCAAAGGGATACCGGGACAAAGCCTGATTGGCTGGTCGACCATTCATGTTCAAGTTTTTACCAGCCCCGTCAGTCTACTTGCTGGCCGTCTCTCTAGTCCCAGAGCATGAGTCCAGGGCACAATTTCTCTCCCACTCTGACCACGGCTTTCACCATCGAGTGAATGCTCGTCTGAGGTTCACTCTTGTTTTATACCGGTTTCTGTCACTCTCCCTCTTGCCTTCTTTGCCCTCTTTGCCCTCTCTGACAACGGGGTTCTTTTTCTTTTGCTGGGTAGAGTTTCCATAGTTACTGTGGTTGTTCCACTATCCACCATTTCTGCCACCTAGCGAAAGCTACTGATAGCTACCGGGGAAAACAAAAGCACTATCCTCTTTCTGTTTTATGTTATAAATCAAGCCTTCATATTTCTGCAAAATTTCGTGTTCAGTAGCAGATAAAGTTGCATAGTGGTTCATAGGGAACTAATTTAAATGCAGATGGTGTCATTATTCTATTGTCATTACATTGTGCAATCAATATTTACTTCATAATGATAAGTTAAAGCAAAGAACTTGTCTATGGCCACTTTAAGTATGAGATACACTTTGCTTTTTATATCCAATTTCTGAATGACGTTCAAGATGGGGATATTAAGTGATTTTTAAACTTTTTTTTCCCCAGGAGTTGTATGGTGATTGTGACAAGCTTAGGCAAACAGTGTTTCAGCTCGCTACTGAGACTGAGGACAATGACAGCAACTTGGGTGAGGAATCCTGTAATTTGACCCTATTGATTCTGAAGACACGCTCTTCTTAACCTAAATATAAATTGGTTAAGTCATGATTCACAGAGACCTTGTGTTGACGTACGTATCAGACCAGAATGTCCTCTTGACTTGAAAAACCTTCTGCTCTCAGAGTTCCTAAATTTAGCAAACATGTTTATTGTTGGTGTTTCAGAATTTTATGAACCTCATCTTGATTTAACCTTTTAAAATGCATTTATCAGGAGACATCCTGCAGGCCAGTGATGACCTTTCCCAAGTTATTAATTCCTATAAGAAGATTGTGGAAGGACAGACCATTAATGGAGAGACTGAAGAAGCACAAACACAAACATCAGTCAAACAAGGTAAATTTTAAGTGGTAGGACCGTACAGTTAAAGCAGAGAATTGTTGGGTTGGGTTAGGGTTTTGGCATTTCAGATTCTGACATACTTTCAATTCCCCTAAAAGTCATGGTTTATATAAGCTACGGAATATACAATGGGCACGATAATAAAAGTTCATAGACAGGGAAACCTGACATAGACCATGAAATAGATAGCAATGTGCAAAGAACATATCACCCTAATGTTAAAAACAAACATCCAGTTTAGTCTGATTTCTGAGGAGTATGTCCTTTTTTAGGTATATTAGGTATATATATACTGTATACCTAATGTACTGGTGTGTCGAACCAGAATGTCTTCAAAGTACAGTTTATGTGCAGAAAGGGGTCAGGATTGTTGCTGTGCCTCAACGTACAAAAGTAACTAATAAAATAATATTTATTTTCGAATGTCTATGGATGTTATACACAGGAATATTTATGGGCATCATACATAAGGACCACAATAAGAAATCACAAGTTGAAACAAGCCTTTGCTTCTGTTGCTCTGAGATATTGCACCAAAAAAGGACATCTTATGTGAAAAAACTAAACAAAGAACAAAATAACTTTGTTCCCTGATCTTTTTAAATTGTGTGATCATCAACAGTTTTATTTCAACTCTGTTACATGTATGTTTACAAATTCATTTTATATCGAGTTAGATTTGTTAAAAGACAATAGAAAATTCCACTAACCATTTTCTGATTAGTTTCGACAGGAAAGTTTCTTGCAAGAAACTGTGCAAAGGTGCAACTGCCATAGTTCTCAATGACAGCTCAGTCTGTGTTTGTGCTGAGCAACTGGGACATCACTTCTGAAAACAAATATTTCTGTCGTGCTATTCAGGCGTCATTTTTCTTTGTATATGAGATCAACAAAGAAGGTGTTTATCTCCTCCACTTTATTCACGTGGTGGCAGAGGGCTCAGTAACAGAGATCTCAAAGCCTATCAACTATCTACATGGGCAGATAGCATTTGGATTAGTATTTGGGCATGTTTGGGTGAACTGACCATTTCAACTTCACTTGACAGATGGATGGACATAGACATTATTATCCATTTGAAAAGGAATGCATCTTTGTTTACCTTTTGCTTATGATTTTCTCCATCTGTCAGGTATGAGCCGCACAAATCAGTCAGAGATTCTGATTGACCTGGTGGGTCTGGATGTCCAGACCCCCTCTCCACCAGAGCAACAACCCCCTGCATCTTCTCTGTGTTTTCCTGATGACCTTCTGTGTGGGTCTACTACCGTTGACCCACAACCCCCGAGCCTCAGTGCACCCTCTGCAGCTCTCTCTCTGCTGGATGAAGAGCTACTATCCTTAGGTAACATAGCAATATAGTATTGTAGCAAAAGAAATCACACTTTTTTCATGAAACTATTAACTGTTGTTAGTGAATATGCTGTTTACATCTATATACAGTATCTGTTGACATATATTTGTTTTAATTTGCAGGCCTCAATGAACCTGTTCCTGTTGTAAGTAAATCAGCTGCATCAACACATATAAACTAGAGCAATCATTTGTCATCTTTACAGATTTTGAAATTGATTCCAATCATTTATACTAATGTCAAGTATTTTCTGACATTTTCTTTTCATTACCGTGTTTTCCAGGATTCCAGTCAGCGTTTGCATCTTTTCGACACTAATTCGCCTTCGGGTCCTTTATTTTCTACGCCTTCACTTTTTCCAGATGCCCTGTCTACAACAATAGCCCCAGTTAGCACTACCAAGTCTTCTACAACTGCCTCTGCCTTGGGTTTCCCTGGCCCTGTCTTGTTCACACCTCCCGTTTTTACACAATCTATCTCAACGACCTCAGTCACATTCTCACAGCCCCTCAGTTCAGTATTAACAACTGTGGCCCCGACTGCTCTTCCTCAGTCATTCAGCATGGCCTTGTCTGCTCCGTCAGCTACCCATGTCACTCCACAACAAGTCTCCACTTCACCTGAAGCTTCCCACTCAGCTCCTCTTAATGACAATCTGCAAGACCTTGCCTTGCTGGATCTTGGGAGTCCTAAAAGGTGAGTGGTACTTCTGCCATCAGGTACAACTGCAGAAAGAATACAGAGAAGCACCTGTCTGTCCATCAGTCACACATAATATCTTGGATGCCGAATCATATTTTTTTAAATTCTTGGTAAATGATGTACATCTTCTATCCATTGTTTTAAAATAAATTTGCACTGATTCACCTAAGTGGGTGTCTATAAAAGCTTAAGTTTAAAGGCACCTCTTTCTCTCTTCTGCCATTTGAAGTTCCAAGTGCATCCCAACCGCTAGCTTGCGAATGGCAGACTGATCCGCAGGACTCCATTAACCTTTCAATAACCAAGACTGTGACTTATCATTTTAAAGTGGTCATGCTAAGAGTCTTGCTGCCACTTTTTGAAATATCATGTGGCTGAGGTTTTGTTTTGTATTAGTGTGAAGTCAAGTGCCATTGCATTCCACTTATATTTTGTAAACCTGACTGCACAAAATCTGTTTTGGAACTTGAAGTTGCATCTCATTTTCTGCCTCCCTCTGTTATCTAAAGTTAAAAATAGTGGAATCTATAGTATATAATGTCTAAAAAAAATTGTTTTATTCACACAGAACACCCGCTGTGATGGACTTTGGCAGCTTGCTGGTAAAGAATGAGGATTTGTGCGCTCCTGCTACCCTGTCTTCCAATCTTGGTTTCTCCTCCACCACATCCACATCAATGCTTGTCGGAGGGATGCAAGGAAGTTCCACTCCCTCACCAGCCAAGAGGCAGGCAGATGACAGCCCTCTGTTACGCTCCCTGTCCCCCATCCTCCCTCTGAGCCAGGCCAGTGCAGGCATGGGGCAGGAAGTGTCCCTGACCAATGTCTTTGTCCCATTGGATGTCATCAAGCCAAGTGAGTTCCAGGAAATAGGCCTTATTGTTTGTGTGTATGTTTTTAGAATTTCAAATGTTTGAATGCTTTTGGTGTATAGGGAAAAATTGGACAGAGAAACAAATACAAAGAGGGACATCACATCAAGCCACAGCTCCATGTATATACATGACTTTAATTTTGAACCTAAAATATCATTTTAGGTTCAAAATTATATTTTTTGTAAAATAGGACAAACAAATTTAAAGGCTTTGTAATGCATTGCAAAAATGGTCTTGAGCTCTGTCTTTGCAGTTAGCACTGAAGCAGGGAAGACATAATGTACTGGACATTTAATATTATTTGCCAATAATCTGATATAACAGATAAGGGCTGCCGATAATGATTATTGTATATTATCAATTAATCTGCTGATTATTTTCTCCATTAATTGATTAATTGTGAAGTCTATACAATGCTATGGTGATGTCTTCAAATGTCTCTTTTTGTCTGACCAACAGGCCAAAATGCAAAGATATTCAGTTTAGTGTCATGTACAAAAATGCATCAAGTCTTCACATTTGAGAAGCTGGAACCAGCAAATATTTGTCATTTTTTGCTCAAAAAGATGACTCAAAAAAATTATTTGATTATCAAAGTAGCTGCAAACTAATTTTCTGTTGATAGATTAATCAAGCAATTGTTGCAGCTCTATAACAGGTCACTTTGTGCACAGATTTCATAGTGTGTGTAACAGGTGGATTGCCCAGAAGTTCAGTGCAATTTTACATGACAAATAGGCTTATTATCTTCAATAGTTGGGCATAGTAAATGAATTAACGGATGAATTCTAGGAACTGGCTTCAGTCTGGAGGGTAAATTTTTACTGATCTCCAAACCGTGATGAACTTGTAGAGAGGATAATTATCAAAGAGATTAAAACTACAGAGACAGTTAGGGACAAATGACAGTCTAGTCAGAATCCTCCTCAACTGAGACTGATTGGTGGTTGGAAAACTGAACTTTAAAAATTACTGCCACTTGGTGGTAGGCAACAGTGGCAAACTTAATGAAAAAGGATTTTTTTTTCCCAATTATGCCAATCAACGTGATCTGAAAGTAATTATCACAGCATGTACAAAAGGAAGAACTTGCATCAAAACATGCCTTCAGTACAGATTTCATTGTGAGCATTATGCAATTCTACATTTGTGAAAAGACTCTGCACTTGTAAAAAGAACATTAGCTGACTCATATGAGTATTCTTCATGCCCCATCAATCTCTGTGGTCATTTTCCTTTTCTTTTCCTCTTTGTGTCCTGTGTTTTAGGTAAAGTGTGTCCTGTTACAGCATATGATAAAAATGGTGTCCGTGTTCTGCTGCATTTTGCCACGGAGTGTCCTGCAGGCCGGCCTGATGTACTGGTGATAGTGGCGTCCATGCTAAACACAGCCCCACAACCTGTCAGGAGCATTGTTCTGCAGGCAGCCGTACCCAAGGTAAAACCTGATGTGCATGTGATATCACTACTACTGCACAGGAAGCTACATGGTATGCATTTATACTGTATTTAAAACTATTCCTTTAGACTGATGTTCAACTCATGAAATCTTTGCCTGAAAATTAAATTTAAGTCGATAGCTGCCTCTATTTGATATACACGGATGTCTGTTCTTCTGATTTTCCAGACGATGAAAGTAAGACTGCAGCCACCCTCGGGGACAGAGCTGGCTCCTTTTAATCCAATCCTTCCCCCTGCTGCCATCACTCAGGTCATGTTGCTTGCCAATCCTCTTAAGGTAGAGCTCAGCCTGGAGCTTTTTTGATGTTCATATATTTATTAATGCATTAAGTAATGTATTCATTGAAGGAACACTTGCATGCCTCAGCAGTGTTTTTACCTATGTTTGAGATCATACAGTACAGCACAGTGATACCACTTCTTAGTTATTCTAACCAGTATGCTTTGAGGATATATTGACCAATGACCTTGTCAATACTCAAGATGTTGTGTGTGTATGTTGTGTATTCCTTTCAGCTGTCAGACTGAGTGTGTGCATGTGTGTGTTTTGCAGGAGAAGGTTCGGATGAGATACAAACTGACATTCACATTGGGAGAGCAGCCACTCATAGAGGTGGGGGAGGTGAATGAGTTCCCGCCTGCTGACAGATGGGGTGCTCTATAGCCCTGCCGACCCATTTAGGATGGCCAGACACTACAAGACTTCCTTAATAATTTAGTTTGTCAGTGCAGCTCAGAAGTGAAAGGAAAGGGCAGTATTAGAAGGTTTTTGGGGAATATTTGAAGAATATAAAATAAACTTTAATGGAGCTTGAAGTTAGAGTTTTTCTGCTCAAGATTTTCCCACTGAAGTAGCCAAAGTCTTGTAGCGTACACCCAACTTAAACTTTACTATAATGCCAGAGGTAGTCAGTGTGGTGCAATAACAAATGGTGTGAACTGGCTGAACGTGGATGATGACTATGTGGGAAAGTATTGCTAAGTTATTATTAAGTTCTTACTGTTATTATAACCTGTTGGTCTCATTTTAAAGTTGATGTTTACTCCTGTCCCACAGTCATATCAGAACTGATTACAGGATACTTGCACTTTGGGATACCAGACAGTCTTAATATGAAGTAAAAATACATGTTGAATGAGATTGTGACATCAGTGTCACATTCACTGCTTCCAATATGGCCCACAGTTACTACTGATTACTTTGACTTGTCTCCTGAGTTCAGACTCATATTATGGTTTTTAGTCTTTCACTATTTATTGTTTCAAATGTATTATTTATTTTTGGTTAGGGGAGGGAGGTATCAGATCTTTTAACTTGATATTGCAACTGACAACTGTATTCCTTCTGCATACTCTTCTTATGATGGAGACTTTCAGTATTTCAGTAAGAAAGGCACAAATCCTTAGTGGTAATGTTTCAAAATATTCACACAGATATTTTATAAAATGTTACATTATGTAACAGTGGGGTGAACTCTGGATAATATTTTAATATAAAAATGTAATACCTGCTAGATGAAACAGCGGCCTTGTGCCAGACATTAGCCCCTTTTTCTTGGCAGGTACAGCATGAGCTAGTTAGGGCAAGGATGAACTTTATACATTAAGTGGATGTGCTGAAGGAAGTGCAGGCCAGCTGATAATTAAGCCCTGGACACAGAAAGGTGTCCAGTTAATTAAATGCCATGTATAGCTCTGCCCTTGCTCCTGCTGTTAGTCCATGTTGTGGAAATAGAGCTAAAGGGGTGGGTTATTTTTCCAGGGTCAATTGTAAATGTTAAGCTTATGTGGGAGTTTCCTATATCAAACTAGGAAAGTAAGCCTTGAGAAAATATATTGATAATAAAAACTTGGTGGTGGTTAATTGAAAGAATTAGGTTAACCATGTGTTCATCTAAAACTGTGTCTTTATTTTTTTTCTCTCTGGGGCTATTAGTGCTATAGAGGAGATTCTCTACTTATTTCTTATAAAATTATTTATTTGTCATAGATTGTTAAAGGAACTTGTCATTACATATTTTTTGAAAAGCAATTTCTGTGCATGGAAAAATAAAGAATGAGGTGGGTCTATTTATATTACAATTTTCACATTTTTGCTTCATTTTTCAGTTTCTAAAGACCAGTGTTAATGCACTAGCAAATTAACAGCATTCTTGAGGTGTATTCTAATGCAGCTGTCAATCAGAATCAGAATCGGCTTCTTTGCTTCAGCCAAAGTCATAGTGCCACAGTATAAAACTATTCGATGTAAAAGTCTAAACATTTAACAAGGAAAAGTACTCATGCAGTAGAATGATCCCTGTTATCATATATTATAATACTGGATTGCTATTGCTGATGCAATAACGTGAGCAGTGTATTAATGTTGTACCTGGTCAAGTTGGAGCTAATTTTAATTCATATACTACTGGGTCAGTAGACTAAATGCTCATCATTGTGTGTAAAATCGGAATCTGCAGAGTAAGTAGTGACTAGCTGTGACGTAAATGCATTTCAGTGAAAAGTACAAACTTCCCTTTTAAATGTTGTGGAGTAAAGTAGTATAAAATGGAAATACTAATATAAAAGTACAAATATTTCAAAATACCTCTAAGTATCTCAGTGGTGGAAGAAGTATTCAGATCCTTTACCTAAGTAAAAATACCATTTCTGAAATGTAAAAATACTTCATTACAAGTGCTGCATGGAAGTAAAAGTGTGAGTATAGCAGCAAAATGTAGTTATGTATTTAAGAAAAGTACTGGTTTGGTCCCTCTGACAGATAATTTATTATATATGATATCATTAGATTATTAATACTGACGCATCTATGTGTCAGCAGTATGTTGTTGAGCTAGTTTGAACAACAGTTTTACATACAGATTTATAGAGACACCAGATAAATCTGAGAGGTTATAAAACGATTAATGTGATTGGAAAGAGGGAAAAACGTTCTGATACGCATCTGTTTTTTTTAACTTTTTCTCTAATATTTGACATTTTTGTCACATTGGATCATTTGAATATTTATTGAAATGAAACTCTCAGAACTTTAAACGGTAAAAAAAAAAAAAAATCACTAATTGATGAAGTTGATTGATTGATGAACTCAGACTGAAATCAGACATTTTTTAAGACATTACAAGCCAAAAATGTTGGAAACGACTGGTTTAATCCTTAAAAATGTGTTGTATTTTAAAGGTTTGATATATTATCCATTGTGTTAAATCGTCATCTTAAAAGTAACCAACTGAAGCTGTAAAATACATGTAGTGGAATAGAAAACAATATTTCCCCCTGAAATGTAGTGGTTTGTTAAGTAAAAAGTAGCATGAAATGGAAATAGTGACGTACAAGCACCTAAGAATTGTACATTAGTGCAGTTCCTGAGGAAATGTACTTAGTTACTTTCCATTTCTTAAGCACCTTCACTGTCAAGTGTTTATGGTGTCACATGGTACACGTCATTAAAATGTTCAATATGCAAACTGACATTTAAATTGAGACTCTGGAAGTACGCATGTAGTTGAACGAGCATGGCTTTGGCACACTACATTTCAAGAGCGCCCAGTTGATCTGGCGCAGCTGTGTGCACTGCAGCCGACGCCAAGTGGCGCGCCAGACAGCGCAGCCGCAGCAGAACAGGCGCAGACAGACACAGCAGCAGCCATGGCAGACGAAAAACCTAAGGTAAGGAACGGATTTTGTACCGGGGGTTATTTACAGTGTTTATCCAATTCATGTGCGATAATTGTTGATATGACACTATGAAAAGCCACTCGTGCGGCCATTTCGCCAACGATCATAATTATAGAGAATGCTAACCGCACAAACCAGAGCTACCGCGCTAGCAAGCTAGCGGGTGAAGTTAGCATAATAAGCTAACGTGGCTAATGTACCAGAGACCCGGGCGGAATGAAATAAATACTAATTTCTCGTCTTTTTGAATACGATTAATTCAGACCCCTTCAATGCTGATGTCGGTAGTAGTGATGCACATGTACCACGAAGCGAAATAGCTGTTGCATGTCCAGTTAACGTTAACAAGAACAGAAGAAAGGTGAGTAACATTTAAGAGACCGTAGCGAACAACATCCACGGGACAAAATGGATTGTTTGAACAAAAACCGTTAACCAATATGAAATAGTTGAATTGTGCTCACCACCGGCTCACCCCCAAGTGTGTCAGAATAAGAGGGATTGTTGATAAGTGCAAGATACGGTGTCCACCCTGGTTAGGCCGTTGGACATTATCCGAAGTTGTAGGCCATTGTCAATTGATTTGCTTAATGCTAATGCTAGATGCTAACGTTGAAGTTGTAATGTTGCTTCATTTTCTGCGCTCAGTAACCACACCGACTCTCAGGTCTGTGCATACCAGGTGCAGTCAGGCAGATGTAACTGAAATAAAATCAGTTCACATACATTTCCATGAGTTTGACCTGTGATTAACGTTCGAGTTCATTGATACTTTTGTCAGAAGTGATTGAGGTACATGAATCTTAAATTGTATCTGACCCTGACTGATAGGGTTTTGTGGTTGGGGGCTTATGCATTACACTTGCTGGAGGTCACATTTTAATAAGATACTTGTTTATCCTTACATAACATCTTGATAGTTACCTGACTCTGCACACTATGTTTTTCTTTCCTTTAGGAGGGAGTGAAGACGGAGAACAATGAGCACATCAACCTAAAGGTGGCAGGGCAGGATGGCTCAGTGGTGCAGTTCAAGATCAAAAGGCACACTCCTCTCAGCAAACTGATGAAAGCGTATTGTGAACGACAGGTGAGACTACTACACTGTTGTAATGTTGCTCAAAAGATGTCATTGGTTCAGGAAGAACTTTGCAACACTGATTATCTCTCACTGGTTGCCACACGAAGTTGTTGATGGTTACAAGAATGAAAATGGTTAGCCCCTTGGTCACCAGAGCATCCCATTATATTGGTTTACAATGTTTTAAACATAATATTTCTCTGCCTGTCCCCTCAGGGGCTGTCAATGAGGCAAATACGGTTTCGATTTGATGGTCAGCCCATCAATGAAACAGACACACCCTCGCAGGTAAGGCTACACCCTTTTGCTCATGTTACATATGATCACGTGTAGAATAAAATTTCATGATCATTAACTACTCTTGAATGAGAGAATGAATACTAATCTCAGTGTATTGCTACTTTGTGTGTAATTGTAAATGTTAAAAATAACTTTACAGAAATGCTACTGAAGTATCAGCTGGTGGATGCTGCTTAAGGTTAATTGACTCTCATTTAAAATTCATGACAAACACTGTACTTACCTTGAATTCACCATGGAATATATGTTAACATGACTTGATTGATACATGATGGTCTGAATTTATGTGTACATCATCACAGTTAAAAGTCTGTACCATTAGACAACACGGAAACAAGCTTGAGTTGAGTTGCTGCACGAGTACAGCAAGTCTAAACACGTGCTGTGGAAGTTCTCTTTCACTTTATACGTGAAGACTGAAATGATTGTTGACTCGCTCTCACATCAGCTTTGTCCAGTACTTGCACTGTTACAATGTAGATATTGTATACAAATAAAGCACTTTACAAACAGCACTGAGCAGCTGTCAGCATCAGTCAGTGATACAGCTGTGTTGCCTTTTAAGTCCATAGAACAGGTATATAAAGAAAAGTTTTGGTTTTCTTTCATTTTGGGAGTCTCAAAGTAGACTATTCTAAGCTTCTGCACCTCTTCTAACCACTTTATGAGCTCTTTTCCCTCTTTTTGCTTACAACACACAAACATTAGGTCATTCTCTGTTTTCTGTCCTAATCTCCTTAATTGTGCTCTGTCAGGGGTGTAATTAAAATAAATGTTTCCCCTGCCTATCTTTCTAACTAATTACCTTACAAAACTTAAAGTGAAAGTGCTTAAATCCAAAACTGTTGAACAAAATTTTGGTTACATTAGCTGACCTCACTGTCAATGTCAACACTCCCTAAATGGCTTCACAGTGAAGGCTAACCAATGCTTAATAGTAACAAATGGGGGAGGAAAAACTATGCAGAATGGAAAACAGTTTTCTGACGAGGGCATGTTCACGCCAGAAGTAATTCTATTGAGTGAATAAGACATTTTTATTTGCAGGGGTCTCCAATTGTGGTAAAAAGTCAGGCACAAAGTTCCTCCCCCACAAATGAGTTCAATAAAAGCATTGGAATAGTGCTCATGTCTTTTTGTCTTTCACACAACTACTTTACTAATGAGCACATTCACAACTGACATTTGAATTTTTCCTTACAGCTAGAAATGGAGGATGAAGACACGATTGATGTGTTCCAACAGCAAACCGGAGGCTCTTCTCTTTAAAGACTGTTTCCTACGAACATCCCTACCTCCCCTCTTCATCCCAGAACATGTTTGTTATGCCCAGTCTTCAAATGTTCATGACCAGTGTTGATACCATCCAGTGGAATACTTTTTCAAAATGCTGGAAGACAGCAGCACAGTTGGTGTAGATAGATTTTATCACACTGTCATTCATGTGTTAACATTTCTGAACTGCGCATTGTAGACAACTTGTAAGCTGCAGTGAGTCTAATGTGCCGAAGAAATTAAAAGCTTGTCATGATTTTTTTTGTTTTTCTTTCTTTCTTTTAGGAAGTTTTGGGGGAAAAAAATCATTGGTCCTTGTTTTTGTTTTTATACTTATGTCATTGACGTTTTGATTCAGATGGAATTTTGTTATTGTTGTCAAGTACGCCTGCATTTTAAATCCACTGACATCTGTTGTTATGAAAATGTAGTATTGGAATAAATTGAGTTTTTTTTTTCTTTTGTTTTTTTTTTAAACATATGTTCTTGTCGTTTTCTTTTATGGATACTTAAGTATTCCAAGCCAATTAAAATGGTGCATTTAGTTTAATAGCCTGCTACAGTAAACTGCTTCACCAAAGATCTATAAAAGAAATGATAATCAATTTTCCAAGATGATTTTGCTTTACTATGAATTTGCACTTGATTAACAGAAAAAAACTATATTTGAGCAGGAATAATTTTTAAACCCTGATGGGAGTAGTCATGCCTGCAGAAAAGATGTTGCACTATGATAGTTATCTGTAAGCAATGTGTGATTAGTCTGACCTATCTCCACAGATTGCAAGTCATCATCCCTAGAACAGGAAAATCCACCCTTACGTCTGGAAGTTTAAAGTGCTGTTACAATAATCTCTAACATAACTGTTTAGTCTGTAAACGACTTGTTTTGTTCTACTCTTCTGTAAGATGGGTTTTTCAATCTTGATTTTACTTTCACTGCTTGGAGTAGGCTATTGGGTAGTTTTCTTTGTATCTTCGATGCAGGTGTTGCTACATCTGGCCTCACTTAAGATGAAAATGGCTGTTGTAGTGGATTTCAGTTAAAGCACAGTTTGGCCCTCCGATATCAGCAAGCACAAGATGAATTTTTAATTCAGACTGCTTCTTTTTCCACTCCACAGTAGCATCAGTTTTAGATAATGTTTTAATAAGCTTATATAAATAATAGCTTATTTTAAAACACCTGATTAAAACTGGTGGTGGACTTCTGGGTCAACATCACATTACAGCAGTAGCATGTCAATCAAATACTTAATCCGACCACAGGCTTGATTGATGTGTCAGGATCCAATCATAGAAGGAGCTGTTTACGTGTGGGAGGTGCTTGAGGAGTGTAAAACGCCCTTTCTACAGTGGTTTCTGTTGCATCTGCACCGCTGTGGGTGTTACGCCTCAGAAATGAACAAAGAAAAAAACCGGAAATACGTCGTTTTTGACTTCAAATTACATTGCAAATCTGTACTTTAGTTGAAGTAAGGGACCATAGAGAACAAACCCTCAGCCATAAATAATTTGCTCCTTGAACAAAAAATTTAAATAGGATTCGATATAAGTTCGACATTAACTATGAAACTATATAACACCGCAACCTTTATTTGTTAGGTTAGTATGTTATTTTGAAAACTTCACCGGAAGTCAAATATCTCCTGGCCAATTTGACACTGGTCCAGTCAGACTGGAGGCAGTGGCAGGTTGATTACTGGGAACCACCGGCTAGGACAGACAATGATGAGGCGGTGAAGAACTGCTAATGAAAGAGTAATTTGCGTGTATCTTGTTAGACTAATTAATATTTCACGACTTCTTGTGCAACAATGACGACGACCACGACATTTCAAGGGATGGAGCCCGGTGCTAAAAGCAGTTCCAGGTAAAAGGCGTCGTTCAGACCGTTCCGCTACCCGTTAGCCACAATGAAGCCAACAAGTCCAGCGTTCTCGGACGTTAACCTCAACGTTACATAGGTTAACGTAAAATGGGGGACATATTTGTTCGGACCCCTGCCCATAATTGTAGCTTGCCTGCTTTGAAATGATTTGAAACCAACCATGGGACGACGGTGCCGGGATAAAGCTCGTACCACACCTTCCCGTTTTTGCGGTCAGAATGGACCATTGCCGTTTTTAACATTAGCTAGCAAGATAGCACACATGTACCCTCCCTTTTGTACAGATGCTGCTTAGCTAGCAAATACACACTAGGCGTCTCGGTACCCAGCGTTAACTATGTAGGCCTCTCACAATGGCGTACGCATGTACTGTATTTCCTCATTAGTTTTTCGTGTTTATTGTCCGAAAATGAAAAGACATGTCAGATCTGTGGATTTCAGATCAGTTTTCAAGATGATCAGTGAGGTACAATAAGACATCCTCTAGTCTGCCCTGCCTCAATGAGGCAAGGGCCTGTTCCAGCTGGCCACACCTGACATTAACCCGAGCTACATCTATATTTTTCATCGTAGAGATGCTGTGAAAGCAATCCATTGCTTTTCCAGTTATATTAAAAGTTGAATAATGCATATAAAAAATTCACAATGTTAAAACGGACGAGTGAGTACTAAATAAGTTTTACGGTAAATTCCATCATAGCGCGACAATAACAATGCGAGTACTGCAAAAGGCAGAAATACATTAGACCAATATTGACCGCAGTATGAAAGCATTATGTAGTGGTAGCTTTCCATTTTTGAGAAAAGTATATAATGAATATGGATATAGACTTGGTTGCCAGTTTATTAGACACACCGCCTTAAAAGTGAAGTCACATACATCAGCCCTGCAATAAATCCTTCCCTCATGAAGGTCATTGTGGAGGCTTTAGTAAATAGGGCTGTTGACCTGTATTGCATTATTCTGAGAAGTGTTTTTAATATTTAGTCTACCATTGTTGAAAAGAATGGGTTAGACAAAACATTAGGAACACCCGGAATAATCATTCATAAGCATTGTTAAGGTAATACCAAATATAACTTCAGCTGGAACTCCTCAGCATGCAGTGCAGTTGGAACAACAGTAGCCAACATATTAAGTTCACACAGGCACATCGCAAGGAAAGCTCATGTAATTTGTTAGTAAAAAAATTAAAAAAAAAAAAAAAAAAAAAAAAAAGAAGGAAAAAGTACCTTGATTAGGACCCCGTCACTTGACTTGAATCTGGAAATAGCACATGGTAGCATATTGTTAAATGACCCAAAATAAAATTGATTCTTGATTGATACAAGTGTGAATGAAGAATCATTTCTCATTGATGAATTCTGTACATTCCTTGTCTGAACCACAGCATTACGGCAGGTTGTATTTTTGTTTTAATGAATAATTTTAGAATGGAGAAAAGAAGCTCCAGGAAATCGGCCAGTGCAATCTATTTTTCACTAACAGTTTTGACCATCTCTTTCTAGGGTTTTGCGCCCTCCTGGTGGTGGCTCCAACATTTCACTTGGTGCAGATGAGGAGAAACCTCCTGTCCGGAAAAACAAGATGGCCTCCAGTGTTTTCGCTGAGCCAGAGGACCCCTATGCTAATCGAAGGAACAACCCACCAGGTACAATCAGTCTCACCTCTCATAATGTATTGCTTTAGTGGGAAATCTTATAACTCGGGCCCTGTTTAGACTAGGTATTAACATCCATCTCAGGTGATCCGATCGAAAGTGGACAGTTCTAAGTTCAGGTGTGAACGCACCCAAGAGGCATTGAGGATGCATTTGAGATCCGATCACTGAAACCATATTTGGAAGTGGTCTGGGCCACGTGGCCACGTTCTTTTAGCAGTGTGAACGCAAATGTGCCCTGTCCACATTGAACGGCCGCCTACTCCACCGACATCCTCTGCCACAGTCTAATTAGTCCCAACACAGTTTCATAATGAACTGAAAATATTTTACTATTTCAAATGGATAAAAAGTTATTTCACTGTAATCCAGGTGTGAACTGACATACTTAAAGCTGACCACTTGTGATCGGATCACTGAAGTCATATGTTAATTCTAGGTCTAAACAGGGCCTGAGTTTCTCATACCCCTCTTATTTTGACAGTTTACCACAGTATCTACGGATGGTGTAACTTAAAAACAAAACCAGAAGACAAAATTAGTGATAACAAGGAACAGGTTGGAGAATATTTTTTTTTCTCATGTTTTGAAGATAAAAGTGTTTCTTTGCAGGCTTTTGTCTTGCAGCTGGACCTGAATGCTCTTCTGCCTCCCCTGGCTACTCAAAACTTCAGACAGCTGAATATATAAGAAAAACATTTGCTGTTTCCAGAGGTTCTACTGACAGAATGGCTTTAGGTGCCCAAATGAATTGATTTCTCTTTTTCAGCCTGTCGTTAGGGCTACCGCAATTAGTTGCCATAATCGGCTACGTCGACTATGAAAATTTATCATCTGTTTTGTCCTCTAACTCTTGGTGTTTTTACGCAACAACATCACGGTGGTTATGCTAGTAGTGGACTGTTAGGAAACGCTGAAACAAAAGCCGTCTGTATGTAAGTCTAACTGATTATCTTGGTTCGCCACAGATCTTAAAGTGTGGCAGATTGTTGTAAACTGAGCAACTGGCTGTGACAAACTAGCCCAGTCAATTCTAATCCTGTTCTGAATTTATTCTTTTTTTTAAAAAAGAACCAGTAATAGTCTGAGCTGGATCAATAAGTGTATGGATATGGTAAAGATAAGTCCTAACGATACCCATCCCTACAGCTGGTTAGTGGCTGACTTTGGGAGGTTGAGCACATCTCGGTTCAAATCCCTTCACTAAGTCTTGTTTAACCAGTGTAATTTTGTGACTTATTTTTTATCGCGCACAGTGAGATCAGTCACAAACGTGAGGGATTACTTCATTTATAAATATTGTCTGTTCATTAGCAGACGGAGCTTTTTGATATCTTTTGTCCTTGTAGCTGATAAATACTCTCATAAATCCACAGTTCGTCTGCTGCTGCCTTAGAAATTACACTGAAGAAGTGTTGTTTAGGTCAGAATATGGGCTTATTGATCATGCCAGAGTGTCATTTAGATCTTCTGGAGGAAAATTAATCGTTTAGATTAATCGACTATTCGATAAAATAGTTGATAGATTAGAGAGATTAGAAAAAGAGTTGTTAGTGGCAGCCTTACTGTCATTAGATATTCAATCATTGGTGTTTCTTTTCTAATCAGGATTATTCTCAGGCCTGTGGAGATCTGAAACCTTTGTGTAGAATTGAGCTGCCTCAAGTCCTTTTTAGATCAGAGTTAATTATAGAATTGAAAAAGTATATACTTGGAAGCATATTGTGTTTGTCTAAAACACTTGAATCAGAAATGTAGATACTCTCTAAATGTGGAATAGTACATTAAAAAATGTTATTAAAAGAGGAAATGGAAGCATAAGAGGAAAAGTGATGCTAGATCTGCATTTTTGATTTAGTGTGGGGGTTCCTAGTTTTCTATAACCATTTTTCCCAGTTCCGCTCA